GGCCCCGCCCCAGGCCCCGCCCCCCGGCGGCGCAGGCCCACCTGGACACACGGCGGAGTTGTTGCACAGCCGCTGCTCCCGCAGGGGCCCGCTGCACTGCGTGCTGTAGGAGGAGGACACGCAGAAGCGCGTGCGGGTCTGCCAGCCCTCGCCGCAGGTGCTGGAGCACACGCTCCACGGGGACCACTCCTCGGCCGCGGGGTCACCTGCGGGCCCAGGTCTCCAGCATCACGGGCCTGCCGCTGCCTCTGGGCCCGGGGCTGCGGTCAGACCCTCAGCAGAAGTCCCCAGGAGGAGGACCGCCGAGCTGGGCAGCAGGCGGCCACAGCGAGGCCTCAAACCCAAGGGGCTAGAGCCGGGGCTGACCTCAAGGACTGGCTATTCTCCCGACAAGGCCGGGAGCCCCTGGGGGCGGCCTCGTGCTATCTCTGGGTCCCTGAGGTCTGGCCTCACACCAGTTCCCCTAAAGCCAGTCGACTTGGAGACAAGCGCGTGGCACCTGAGGTTAGTCTAATTATGGTAAGTTATGAGAGTTATTTCTTAGAATTAGCAGCAATTAATAACATATAATATTTGCCCAAAGGCTGTGTCCCCTGGAACCAACTTTCCCCGCCTTACAGAGTTTTAGTCCGACGGTGTCAGCCCTGCCCAGCCCCTGAGCTCACCTGTCTGCGGGGACGGGAACCCAAAATGCTGCAGCTCGTCCCCCAGCTCCTCACGCCGCCGGGCATCCGTGGACCGCAGGGACTGGCTCCGGGAACTGGTGCGCCCGGCGGCTGCAGGACGGCTCAGGTCAGCGTCCAGGCCTGGCCTGCAGTACCGGCCCTGGAGCTCCAGAGGGCGCTCTCGGCCCTGGGTCCCTCAGTCCCCGGCCACAGTGGGGCCCGGCTTGCCAGCACCAGGGCCACTTGGCCCCACTGGACAGTTGGGAAACCTGGCACCTGGGCACCCGGCCTGGTGCCAGCCCCTGTCCAGACACCATGAGACCCTTCCTGTGGGCCCTATCTCCCCTGCGCCCCCTCCTTCTTCCTTCAGGGCCCGTAGGCGGCACACGCAGGACCGCACGTCTGAGTGGCTGCTGCCCTCCCCTGCTCAGCGTCCCACCAGTGCCCCTGTCTCCCGCGACACCCCAGGGCCCTCCCCAGGCTCTTGAGATGAGCTCCTCTCCCCAGGAAATTTCATCAGGGAAATAACCAACCCGAAGAATGACAGTCTCATTATAACTTGATTTAACTTTATGGAAGCAGTTGAAATATGCATGAGATCATTAGAGAGCCTTATTAGAGAAATACATCCCGGAGGCAAGATCGGCGGGGTCAGGCGGGTCTGGCCAGGGCTCCCCGGGTGGGGGGGAAGAGGGCAAGCCCCATAGCCAGCCTTCCACGTGCACCCCAAAATTCCCGATCCATAGATGAGACGAAAGCACCCTCCACTCCCACCTAACTCCCGGTTCCTCCGCTCCTCTTGGGCCCACAGGACCAGGCCTGGGCCCGCCCTTAGCTAGGCTCCACCCCTCTGGCCCCGCGCCCCAGCCAGGTCTAGCCACATCTCTTCCGGGCCAGGGCCCTGGCCCCGTCTGGCCTTGCCCCAGGGCCCTCTCTCCTCTCGGCCTCCTCCCCCCACCCCCGCCCCACCCCGCTCCAGTCCCCCTCCCTCGCCTGGCATGGCCCCGCCCCAGGTCCCTCCCTCACCTGTCCTCGTCCCGCCCCAGCCCCCTCTCTCATCTGGCCTGGCTCCGCCCCAGGCACCTCCCTCCACCCCGCCCCGCGCCCCTCCTTCCACCCAGCCTTGCCCCGGGGTCCCTCCCTCACCTGTCCTGGTCCCGCCCCAGGCTCCTCTCTTATCTGGCCTGGCCCCGCCCCTGGTACCTCCCTCCCCCCCGCCCCGCCCCGGGTCCCTCCCTCACCCTGCCTGGCCCGACCCGGATTCCTGCCTCTACCCGCCCCTCCCCAGACCCCTCCCCCCACCCGGGCCCGCCCATCCGCGCACTCACGGCCGCAGGCCTTGCGGTTGCACAGGCGGCCCTCTTCCAGAACCCCCTCGCAGCCGCCGCCCTCGATGCCCGGCGCGGGCAGGCAGGTGCGCGTCCGCGTCTGCAGGCCTCCCCCGCAGTCCCGCGTGCACTCGCCCCACAGGGACCACAGCTTCCAGCCGCCTGGTGGGAACCAGAGGGCAGGGGTCAGGGCCGGGGACAGAGGCAACGGGCTGGGGTGTATTTCAGAGAGTGGTCTCTGGGGTCTCCCAGGCAGGGACCTGGGGCACAGCGCCCACACGGAGAGACCCGCACGTGTGAAGGCCCCTGGGGGGGAACCAGCACAGCACGGTGGAGGGCCAGCTAGGAGGCCAGTGCCAGCCTGGACTGCTAAGTTCTGGGGATGTGAAGCAGAGAGGGGCAGGGGCAGGGAGTAGCAGAGGTGCGGGGGAAGGATCTGACCAGGGGCACTTGGGGGCTGGTGCCCACCCAGCTCCCTGGTGCCCTCTGGGTGCCCGGGTCACAGAGCCCTCCAGCACTCTGTCTACAGGCACCTGTGCCAGGTCTCTTACTGCCTTTGAATCCAGGTCCCCAGTGGGGGGCCAGACACAGAGCTGGAGCCCCAGGCCCCTCTGAAGAATGAATGGATGAATGAATGAAGACACTCCTGCCCACCCCAACGGCTGCCTCACAAGGTCCTGGAGATGGGGGTGAGGGGAGAGGGGGCCCTTTGCCAGGGCTCTCATCCCTGGGCTCAGATCCTTGGGCCCTGCTAGAGCCCCCTCCCATGGCCCTCGTCCAGTTTGCTCTGAACCCGTTTCTGCATCATCGCCACCCCATCCCCAGCCCCGGCTATGACTCTATGCTCTGTCCCCACCCCACACAGGGACACCAGAGGTGACCAAGATCCCACACCTGGTGGCCAAACGGGCCTCACACCCAGGGCCTAGCCGGACCGAGCCTCCCCCAGACCCGGCAGAGATGGCCACTGGCTGCAGAGGGAGCCTGGGGACAAAGGCCTCCACCACGGCCTCCAGGCCCCTCTGGCCACCCCTGCCCTGACCCCAGCAGCCCCCTGTCGGCCCCTGTCATGGGTCTTCCTCCATCCTGGCCCTGTCCCCCCTACAATCCAGACTTCATGCCCCCAAGAGTCTGAGCCCCTGGTGGCCCCAGTGCCACTAAGAACACTGAGCAGGACAGCCTCGAAGTCCTGGGGAGCCATTGAGGGGCGAGGAGGAGGGAGGCCGCTCATCTTGGGCCAGAGCGTGGAGGTTGCATTGATGGGCTGAGGAAGGGGCTGCTCTGTCCAGGCCTCCTGTCCAAAGGCCTCCTGTCCAAAGGCCATGCTTAAGGCTGCCTGGGTGGCTCCCACTGCGCGGGACTCTGGCTGCCGTCCCGTCTGTCCTCAGGGGTCCGGGGTCCCTGCACTCCCAGTGAAGCAGGGTTGGAGTAGGCTCACCAGGCGCCTACTGTGGCAGGCACCCTGCACACAGCACCCCGACGCTGCACCCACCTACGAGGCTGCCAATTGACAGCGGACGGCATTGCCAAGGTCCAGCACTGGGACCTGCACTCGAGCTGGGCCACTGTCCCACGCTGCCTGCTCACCTGAGGCTGGAGCAGAGGAGCGGGCTGGCCGAGGGCAGGTCACACCTGGCCTGTCAGAAGGGTCCCCGGGGCCTCTTGGAGCTTGCTTATCAGTGGCTTGGGTGAGCTGACCCACATCACGGGGTGAGAATGTGGCTGGCAGGAGGTCCCAGAGGGTGGGCTCAAGAACAGGGGCCAAGGGGGGCATTGGAGCCAAAAGACCAGGTTCACGTGGTGGCTCCACCACCCGCTGGCCGCGGGATGGTCGTCCATCCCGCCCTGGCCTCATGCCCCCCATCTGAGGATGATGGGGAGCTACTTCCCAGGTCGGGCAGCGTGAGGGTAAACAGCAAGAAAGGGCTCAGAAAGGACGGGTGTGGGTTGTCGCTGGGGTCCCGTTGACCCCAGGGAACCCACGTTGATTTGCAGCAAACTCAGTGTCCAGGTGACTCTGGTCAGGCACTGACCTGTTCTGTCCAGGGCCACCTGAAGTGTGCCAGAGCCCCCTCCTCACCGTCCCTGTGCCTGTGCTGGGAACCGACCAGCAGGGGGTGCCAGGGGCAAAGGAAACGGAGGCAGGGGGGGCACAGGCCCCCACTGTGGACGGGGCAGCCCTCCTTCTCCCTGCTGGGTGCATAGTGTGGGGAGGGGGGCCTCCACAACCCCAAGCCTGTTGTGGAACCTTCTCCTCTCTCTTCCCTCACAGAGCCCACCCTCCTGCCCACAAGTCCCACCTTCTCCTGGGCTCAGAGAGGCAGAGCACCTCAGTCAAGGGGCACACAGCAGCCAAGCCTCCTGTCCTCCACAGCGGGCCGGCCCTGTGCCCAGGCCGGTGCGACACAGCAGGTGGATGGGCCAGGTGGGCGGGCACCCAGACAAGGGGACCAGGCGGGAGGGGCTGGCTCCGACTCAGTTGCCACCCCTTGGTGGGAATGGACCCTGCTCTGTCCCTCGCTCTCACGCAGTCACGCGGCCCCCAGATGTGGAGGCCCAGGGAGGAGCTTGCTAGGCCACGGAGCGGGGGCAGGGCTCGGCTCTGCATGGACCCTCACTCCAGGAGGCAGAGGGGCCTGCTCTAAGCCCCCTCCTGGGTCTGGGTGTGAGGCCCTCGTCCATCACTGCGTTCCCACAAGGGAGGCCTCGCTGCTCCCATTGTTCAGCTGAGAAGACAGAGGCCTGCCGAAGCGAAGGGATGGCTGCGCCCCAAGCCAGGAGGAGGCCGGGCAGGAGTCGGGTCTGCCTGTTGGATCCGGGCCCCACACCCCTCAAGGAAGGTTGCTTCCCTGGTGGCCAGCTCTCCCAGGGACATCCTGGGCCGGGGTACCCTGACCCCCACCCTGGCGGGCCCTGCTCTGTGCCAGGAGCCTCAGCACACGAGAACCCTGAGGCCCAGTCCACCCCAGGAAGCAGCATTTTCTACAGTGGAGCGAACTGAGGCTCAAAGAGAGGTGGTCCGGACAGCCAGGGGCTGGGGCGAGGCCACCCCCAGGAGGGTCTGCCTGGAGCTGGCACTGGGGGGGTGCAGTGGCCAGAACCAGGGTCTCAAGTGCTGAGTAAAGGATGCCACGTAAATGCCACTTCGTCTTAAACTGCCAATATGGTGGGAGGATCCTAGAGAGGTGGGAGTGGGGGGCGCATTAGAAGGCGACCAGACCAGGGCCCCAGGGGAGGGGGTGGGGAGCCCCTGGCACGGCTCCACACGCACATGGACAGGGCAGGTGGGCGGCTCTGCAGACACCTGGCCTTCACCGCGACCACTTCACACGCCTTCCTGTGGGTGCTCACAACAGCTTCGTAACCACGCCTGTTCGAATGGCAGATGCAGACAAGGAGGCCAAGCTATCCACTGGGCTGACAACGAGAGGGACTTGAACCCGTGATCAGATTCCAAAAGCTCCCCTGTGCCCCCCAGGCTAAGGCCACCTGCCAGGACCGACCACAGGACCCCAGCCCAGTGCTCCAGGCCTCTGTGGTCTCACCTGCCAAGGCCATCCCATCCCGAGATGCCAAGACAAAGGAACAGAGAGGGCTGGAGTCCAGGGAGGTGGGCCTAGTGACAGGGCCAGGGTGGGCACTTCCTGCCTGTCCCCCCTTGCAGCCCCAGCCCAGCCCCCAGGCGGAAGCCTGAGTGACGTGGAAACTGGCAGTGGGTGGGAGAGAGAGGGTGTCCAAGCCAGGCTAATCGGAGGATGCCGCTCAGTTCCCATGGCAACCACTGCAGAGCTCAGTCTTTCAGGATAGACTTAGGTTAGGCCTCGGCTGCCAAAACACCCACTATTTCGGGGCTGGTTACCTTGGTGACCCAGGTGGGGAGGATGTGGTGGCGGAGGGGGAAGGTGGGGAGGGGGCACATCAAGAGAGGTCTGAGGGGGCGCTCAGAGGACAGACCAGCCCCCAGGCCTAGCCCTGACCCTGGTCACACACTGAGCCCCGATCCTGGTCACACTCTGAGCCCCGACCCTGGTCACACACTGAGCCCCGACCCTGGTCACACACTGAGCCCTGACCCTGGTCACACACTGAGCCCTGACCCTGGTCACACTCTGAGCCCCGACCCTGGTCACACACTGAGCCCTGACCCTGGTCACACTCTGAGCCCTGACCCTGGTCACACTCTGAGCCCTGACCCTGGTCACACACTGATCCTCATCACAGACTCACTTCTGATCCTGGGCACAGGATCCCTGATCCCCCATCACATACTGAACCCTGATCTCAGTCACATACTGATCCCCGACCTTAGCCACACTCGTGCCACTAATGAACACTCAGGAAATGGTAGCTGCTACTTTTCGTATCATTTTTATTTTTAACGTGTGTCTCCACGCATCCCTGACAACACTTGATAAATGTTTGTTGAGCGAATGCATCCACATCAAGGGGAATTACCAGGGAAGCAGGGTATTACCCCAAAGTGCTGGGCATGGAGGCGCTCAGGCCAACCCTTTGCTGGTGGCCACGGTGCTCTGGGCTGAGTGGGCTTCTAGGGGGCAGCAGAGGAGTGGGCAAGGCTGGGGGGTGGGCTGCCCCTCCAGGCCCGGAAAGAAGCTGCCTTTCTTCCCCTGCTCAATGCCCCCTCTGTCTGGAAGCTTCATTTCCATCTCATTAAGGGATGAATAGAGCCAATTAATGGCCGCCAGGCAACCTGGCCACCCAGGAGAGAGGGCACCAGGCGAGGGGGCTCCCCGCCTCCTTCCCACCCTGGTGCCCCAGCCTGGAGGCCATGGCCTCCTCATCCCTGTGTCCCAAGTCAGCTGGGATGGGGGCACTGGGGGAGGCCCTCCCCTCGCTGGGCCTTCCCGGCTTCCGGGGTCCCCTTTGGAGGAGGGGAGCTGTGCACTTCCCTTCTCCTCCAGCAGAGGTCTCCCCAGTCCAGCACGTTGGGCAGCTCCTGCCCATTCGCACCCCCGCCCGCCAGGCGGTGTTCCCCGAGGACCCACTGCATCGTGCAGCTCCCCCCACCAAGTAAGGGCCTGTCCTGGGGCACCAGGCTCCTCCTCCGAGCCCCCTGCATGGACGAGCAAGTGGGGACCACAGAAGGCAGGATGGCTCCCTGAAGCCCCTCCCCAACCCAAGCCCCAGTCCACAGCCCCCCT